GTATGACGTATGCTTAAATTTTCTTTGTTTCTCTCCTGCTGCCCCTTGTCAGTCTTTTATTTTTGGAGCCCATCCTTCTGTCTTCCGGTGCAGTTCTGGCTGTGTGCGCTTGATGTGCTGCCGCAGATGACGGACCGCAGGCTTGCGCCTCCTCTGCCCGCACGTCCCCGCTCACTCTGACACACACGCACGCACACGAACCGACAGTGGCTGTTCTCGCCTCCTGGTCTCCGGAATCAGAAGAGCTTTTGGATTTAGCAGCCGCTGTTCTCTCGTTCAGGCGGCGGCGTGTGAGGAGCTGCGGAGGTAAGCTGGAAGCTCTCTTCTCAGACACATGCGGTGCGGTGCGGTTCTCCAGCCTGTCTCGGCGCCCCCTGACTCGCATTGCTCACACGGAGCTCCGATGGAATGTGACAGCCATCATTAACGGCCTTATGCTTCCGATTCACCTGCGCTGGCGTTCATGAAAGCTCCGGCCGCTGCTCTGCTGTGCGCCTCACAGCTGTCTGTTTCTGCGCCTCTCTCATCTGCTCACTAATGCTTCACACTAAAATGACGAGAAAGATCCTCAAGCGAATCCTCGAGAAAAAAAAAATCTATGTTTAGCTGTGCGCCCACGCAGTGAGCCGTTCCCCATGATAGGAGGGAAAGTTTAATCGCTCATCTGCAGACTGATTTTTCGGTGGAGGTGATGGTGATCACAGATGTGGTGAGGGGGCTGGTTAGGATCCGGATGATTTTTCAAGAATCTCTGCATATATAACTCCTGGGTTATTGTTTTCATCTTCTTGAAGGACCAAACACCCTAGAGGACTGAAATGTGTGGGTGACGTGACAGATTTCCACTGGAGGGGGTTCCTCCAGTGGAAATCATGGCACCTTAAACAGAGCGCACCTGCATAGCTGGATGGAGAGGTGGAACCTGGTCCTGCTCCTGATGCTGCTGCTGCTTCCTCCAGCTGACAGGCTGCTGTGATGTCATCAGAGCTGCCTGTGTGTACAAGTATTCAGAGGAACAAGCATCTTCTGCTCCACTGACAAGTTGTGAGCTCATAGAGGAGAGCGTGGGTCAGAGGGACGTGTGAGCGTAATCTCTTTCTCATTTCCCACTCAGCAGACATGAGCTATGAGTAGTTTCCTCTGAAGATTTTTATTCATATGTTCACTCCTTCTTCCTTCCTCATTGTTACCTGCTCCCCTCTAACCACCTCACCTCATTGAAGATAGATTGCAACTAGTTGCATTTACTCAGCTACATTTACTTGAATAACGTTTTGGAAAAAAATGAGTGATTATCTAAATAATTCAACTTATTCTGTAATTGATTGATAATTAACTGGAGTACACAGAGTCAAAAAGGTCATTTGCAGAAAAAAAAGTCCTTCTTTGTCTGGAAATATGTTCTTCCCAGAATTCCTCAGGTGACACGGTTTAAGCTTCACTTGGTTCACATTCTATTAAAAAAAAAAAAAAAAAAAAAAATCCCCAGATCAGCCCTACACTACTATTGATGCTAGTTCAACAGGAAGGACTGAGTTTTCCACATGCTGACGTTAGAAGTAGACTGACTTTTATTATGTAAAATCAACCTTTGATTTGTACCTCATGTTATAGTCATATTTGATTGTTTTTTTGTATGTTTGAGAATTAATAGTCCAGCTTTTCTTTGGAACCTGATTATTTTTAGATTCATAAAGGACAGCCAAATAAGAAAAAAAAAGTTAATTTGTCAGATATTAAGTATACATAAGTAACTAAGAAGTGTCAATTCTAAGTACAGCACCTTCAAATTAATTGTCTCAAGTTTTTATTATTGATTATAAAAATCTTATTCATGTTAAAAATAGTAATTTATCACCTCGTATTACTTTTTCAGATTGTTACCAGTAAAATCATGATAGCCTAATGTTTGCCCCCTTTGTCTCATTATTTTATTGTCTGAACTGACAAATAATAATAGGTAGACAAAGTTAAGACCATTATTTCATGTTTAAGTTATTACCAACCTGCATTTGGTCAGAGTTGTTGCTACACAATTATTTTACAACAACTGCTAAACACTGATTAACAAACTAATTTTATTTTATCACTATCATCAGGTGACATCAGATATCTACAGCATAGAAACAGACATGTTTTTTTGCAAAAGTGTATTTTTAGAATAACAAAAAAGTACAAAGCCCGTAAAGGGATAAGGGGGGGAAAAAGCAATCCTGACTTACTTCCTTGAGATCCTGAGAAACATTTTGAAAATGTTGCATTCTTTTTTGGGTGAAAAGGCTCTTTATGCACGTTCTGAGAAGCCGGTACTGGTGGTGGAGCCTAAACAAGAGACACAGAGGACGATTTGCACCATTTCTTACGGTCCACAGATGTCCCAGATGAGGATGTTATGTTAAGAGACACAAAGCTGAAGTTGGTTTATGATTGCAGCTTCCAATTGGGGAAAATCTATTTTTACCAGCTTCAGTGTCTTTCATCTACTCTAGTTAAAAAACTGCAACATCTAGACTTTTCAAACCTGGAATAGATTTAAAACCAAGTTTGTGATTTGTGGAACTTCAAGATAAGGTGGTTTAAGTACTATATTTTCATCTGGACCACATGAAAACTGAACTCAACCTTCTCAGCATTATTTTCCTGTCTTCCACTTTTAGCTTTCTATTTTCTCTAATTTTTTTATATTCAGTGCAGCAAGATTTGATATTAGTTATCAAACAGTATAGCTCAGTTAATTATTCAAAGTAGTTTAAAAAGTGTATTTCTAAGGAAACCTAGCAGATTGCATTGAGTCATTGACTTGCAGCATTCATTCCTCCTGGACCAGCAGGTAGTGACAGTAGAAAATGGCAGCATGCATTCAGGGATGGAAAAAAAAAATATTCAGAAAGGTAGCTTAGATGTAGAATATGAGCACCATATGAGAAGCCTACAGTCTGTCAGTTGTGTATGTAATGCAGGCGTCCATAAATGCACTGGAAAACACAAAAGCCCTAGCCAGGCCTGAGGCAGTGGAACAAACTGAGCATGATCAAATAGAGCAGAGGTAAAATAATTAAAGTGACTGAAGCAATTTGAGAATCCAACAATAATTATGTATAAAAAACTGAAAAATATTTCAAGTGATTCATATCTGTCTTTTTTTGCGGTAAGAGAGAAGAGCTTCTCATTGAAAAAGAATCACATAAAATTAAAACCTAAAATCAAATAAAAGCTGTAAAATAAAATTTTTAAATTTTTATCATATTCAAAAGTTTGCCAACTTTTATAAGGCCTGCCCTTATTGGCTACGGCATCTTGTGAGGTACAAAACAAAACATTGAAAACTACGTATACCATTATATCAAAACTAACTATAAACAACCAACAGTGTCAATCAAAACAGACAAATATCTAAAAAGAATTGGCACAATCTGGAAATTCATTTTAAATGATTTAAATGAGTTATTATTTTTTTAAAAAGAAGATGAGGAAGAGAATGTCAGGACATGAAGTTGAAGAGAATCTCTGGGAGCTTTTGGAAAACTCTTATCCTGCTCTGCAGACCTCCCTGCATAAAGCAATAAAAAACAATACAGCTCACACTCACACATGAAAAGCCAATCTTATGGAACTGTGTATTTTTTATATTCAAGGAAAAGTGAAAGTTCTCTGATTATGAAGGGGAGCTGTTTTAAAATATTTTCATTAGTATAAATTTACTTGCTCAAAAATTGCTAAATAGCAAATAAATGTAACAAAATATTTAATTAAAAATATCTAAATTTTCTGAGAAAAATGTTCTATCTTGTATTCTGGTGCTTGCAGCATGAGTCTGTGGCTGCCTCACCCTGTCAGTGGAGCTTCGCCGCTCCAAAAACTCCAAAGCACATTTTAAAGTACGAACATCCTGGATGAACTGAGTGGATAGATGAAGCTATGAAGTCTACTTTATTGCCTAAAGACATCTTAAAACTACTTTTTGTGTGACAAATTAATAGTGTAAAAAAGCGCTGCATTTCCTACTCACTCTCTCTTTACCGCTGCTGGTGGTGCAATGCATTGTGGGATATGTTGATGGGTCAAATCCACAGAAAGATGCACTGGTGCTTCATTGACAAAATGGGTGGAGGAATAACACATGGAGGCTTTGCTTACTTAAACAGTACTTGGGTACTTGGGCCACCACTGTGTATTTGTTTCACAAATACACAATCATGGACATGTATGCATATTGAGAAACGACCAATGCAGTCATATTTAGCAACTTTTCAGACTCCTCTAGTGACTGTTTTCCAAAAATACCCATGACAAATCTTTCTTCTGCTATTCAGAACTTTGGCGACACCATTGTGAAAGCACCAATCACTGCAGCAACTGTCTGCAGGCAGTGAGTGCTGCCTTGAGCCCTAACCCCATTCCAAAGCACTAGAAAAGGTCTCAGTCATCCTTCAGTAATCCTCACCTGCAGCCAGAACAGAAAGGAGACAATGAGGAACATTGATCGATATGGATTTTCAGCTCTGCACATATGTGCAATGTAGTTACAGAGAGGAGACACAATCTACTCTGTGTCCACATTGTAAATATATCATGCACGTGCAGAGCTGAAAATCCATATCAATCAGTGCTCACAATGCAACATAGACATCAGCCAACTATAGTAGGAAAACTCAACTGCAGTAGCAGAGGGCAGCACAAAGATTGCTTTAGGCCAAATATTGTAGAATTAAACAAATTCACATAAAAATGTCACAATTTGCGCCCTAGCAAAATATAACACCCTTAAGGTCCAATTTACAGAGTTTACTTGCAAAAAAAAGATTATTCAGTAAAGAGTAACTAGATTAACTAACATCTAACTAACTTTAAGAGCCGGACTTCTTGTCGGCTTCTAGGTGATGAAATACGTATTTCATGCAATAAAATGCAAGTTAAGGTTTTAAAAATTGTATAATGTGGTTTTCTGGATTAATTTTTACATTATGTCTCTCATAGTTGAAGTGTACCCACAATAAAAATTACAAACATCTCTATTCTTTGTGTTATAACTTGAAAAATCAGTGATACATCAAATACTTGTTTCCCAATATTTTATAAGTTTGTTTGGTTTAAGTGTTATCCGTTGAGATACTAAAATTATTTTCACTGTTCAATTAGTTGAGTTAAAAGAAGTAGTAAAACTGACACAATGAGATGTTTGAAGTCTGCTCAATTAACACAAACAGGCAAAGAACTAATGGATAACACATGGGCCCAGATTCTGTTCTAAATTCTTCCAACATTTATTCAGAGGAAATTTCAGCAGAAGGATGATGTTTGTGCAG